CTCTCACTCAGTGAAGTTGAGTGTATATCTTATTTCTACACATCCGAAAATTAACGACAGTGAGAATATCGGTGAAACAACTGAATCTAATTTTCGTTGATGTGGACGTAACAGTCTTTAAATCAACAGGGGAAGTAATTAATTCTTTTTCACTGAGCGAGGTTGTTGACCCATAATGAAAGAGCTTTTATGGTGACTGCTATCGTAAGTCAACCGTAAGATCGGGTTATTGGATAGTGCGTTCGTGTAAATATCACCCTCCTGGATCGCCGTTTCATCCCAAACAGGATCACAGAGACAGGTAATATGGAAGACGAGAAGCGAGACGGGCATTTAATAATCACATCACATGGAGAAGAAAGGCTTGGGTTTCAGAAGTCGTCGGCTGGTCGACTGAAGCTCGAAAACACATTGATTTAAAATAAAAGGGAGGGGGTGGAGATGGACTGTGTTCGTGGATGACTGGCACTTTCAAGCATTCAAGCAACCACGTCCTGTTTCTAGATGGGAAATAACATAATGAGGGGAATTAGGCAGGGCTAGATCTAGTATTGGCCTTCTCTTTTCCGATAATTCTGTCGTCACATGACGTGTCTGCCACCTTCTGTCCACGCGCGGAACAGAGTGAGCTCGATCTTACTGGCGGTATCGATTATGAGGGTATCGAACAAACCAACTAGATGTGACTAATAAATGAATTTTATTCATTTTTGTTCAAATAGGTCTAGGGACTATACATGTAGAAACAATCTACTTGTCGGGGAAAGGTGGGGCAACACGTACCAAGACTATTTTCTTAGGTTAAAAAGAAATACACAATACAAGCTGTTATGTCATCAGACAAAAATATAAATAATGGCCCCCTTGCCCACAAACACCCCATTCCCCCTCCCCCTTTCTCATAAAAAGACGATCTCGATTGGAAGAAGTCCAATGCACATTAAAAGATTATATAATTCGATATTCATATCTTCTTCTTCTTCTTCTTCTTCTTCTTCTTCTTCTTCTTCTTCTTCTTCTTCTTCTTCTTCTTCTTCTTCTCTTCTTCTTCTTCTTCTTCTTCTTTTTCTCAGTCGACTTTTGGTTTTTAAACCTGCTATACAAAATAAAACTGATTTTTACTTAGCGACCATTTTACCTACTTAGTAAGCCTCTTTCCTTCAGGTAGTCATATTATGGTATCCATCTAGAATCTAGAACTCGAAAAGAGAATCGACATCAAGAAGGGGGGGGGGAGACCGGCGCAGATTCACGGCTGTCGGATTAGCCTAAAACGAGGACCGACAGCTATTGTAGAGATCAACGACATGCTGAACTCACTCATGATGAAGCCACTCACCAGGTTGGCGTGAGGGGGGATAATCACGACTTGTCTGTGCGAGTATCGCTTGTCGTCCCTGCCGCCCTCCATGGTCATCAGGCTGCTGGTGAACTCCGCGCACGGCTTCCGGTACACGGTTATCTCCACCTGGGTGAGGTGACAGACGACAGGTTGGTTTTAGTTTTAGTAGACTTTTACGGCGCTCGCAGCTGCATAAGGTCATTATGAGTGCCAAGGGGTGGATGTCAGCAGAGAAGTCCATACAGGGAATCGGGCTTACTCTGCTCACCTCTCTAGTTTCAACAGCACAGAGTCTGTTTCGACTATCAAGGGACCCCAGAAATAGCGGATCACAAGAGTGTGACAAACATACAAAAGAAGTAGAGGGAAAATGACGATAGTAAGGGTTAGGAAAGAAACAGCAGCAGTTCCATGTTGCAGTTCAGGCACAGTTATGAGCATGACATTGGTGAATCAGCCCATTTACAATTTACATTTCTCTTGTGTATAAGAACATATTATTAATGCCCCCCCCCCCCCCC